GGTTGTGTGTGCGCGGTGGGAAGAGGGGTTGGTTGAATAAAACCTGGTGCGACACTAACAGGCAGTGGCTGGTGCTGCAGTAAGAGGCTGAGGTTGGCAGTGGACGCCCCCAGTGGGTCTGCTCTTACCTGGCCACCTGAAAAAATGACAGGGGTGGAGGCAGGCTTGGGGCGGTAGGGGATTGTGGCACCTTTCGGTGGGGACTGAGGAGAGCAAGGGTGGGAGAAGGAGTGAGATGTGGAGAAAGTGTTAGAGAAGAAGAAAAAGAGGAAGAAAGAGAGCATCAAGTGAGGCTGAGAGGGACAGTGCCTGAGGGAAGACCTGTGACACAAAAGTGCTCTTCACTGTGTGCATGCTGCATAACGTCCAGTTTGTGATTCACCTGGAACATCTCTTTCAACTGGATAATGATGACGCTACACACTAAAAACAACCCGCCCACCCCCCGCCTCCCCAAGCACTCTAGAGACTTACAGCCGTGTCGCAACTGTCCTGGCATCCATGGTGGGTGCCATCATGGTGGCCCACTGGACAACTGGCAATACAGGCAGTTCAAATTTTCAAATCAACGATGCAAACAACACAAAGACCAGAAATGTGATTGGTCCTTCCAAGGGGTCACCCGTACGTTTCATATTATTCATCTGCCATGCTCATACGTTAGCAATCAGTGTTATCAAATCCCCTCAGTAGAAATGTGACCATGCTCTCGTAAAACTGGACAAAAATGGTTGCCGGTTCCATACATCCACATGATGAGAGCCCAGAATACACAAGGCGAGCGTACCTCCAGCATCACCACACATATCTGTTTGACACATTGTATGATGGCCTCTGGCGCTCCGGAAATGGTCACCGCCCTCTCTGTTGAGTTGGGTAGCATGTCACCCGCCACCTGGACCTGAGCGCCTGTGGACTGGCGGAAAGACGGAAGAGAACCGATGTGTTTGTGTTTGCTTCCCGGGACGTGGGGTTATCTTTCAGCTACCTCTCGCATCTCTTTGATTTTGGAGCCCCCTTTGCCAATGAGTGAGCCACACTGGCTGGCTGGGACCACAAGCCTTAGGGTCACTGGGGGTTTGCTGGTGGCAGGACTGTTGCTCATAGAGTTGATGATATCCTGGAATGACATTTGTTTCATTTCACTTTATAGACCATTCCAAAAAGTCTGGAATACTTTCGAGTGGCAGATTGAAAATGCAACCTCATTCATCGGGTTTGTGTTGTTCTGTGAGTAATTAAACAAAACATAATAGCAAGCATGCTGGCTAGCATCAGCTCCAAAGCGTGTTATTCCATTTCCAGCATCAAAAGAGCATGTCTGTAATCCCGGCAACAGAAAAAAATCTATTAGCCAGTCCGTCAATGATCATATTCACTATGTCCATCCATCCATCCATCCATCCATTTTCTGATCCGCTTATCCTCACAAAGGTCGCGGGGTGTGCTGGAGTCTATCCCCGCTGTCTTCGGACAGTAGGCAGCGTACACCCTGAACTGCTTGCCAGCCAATCACAGATGTTCATTATGTCAACATTTCCAAAACATCTATTGTTTGGCCCAAATTATATCTTGAAATTCAAATGATGTCCAAGGTTCTTCCTTGGAATCAATTAATTTTGCATGTTCTTTTCACCTGACAAATCGCACATTCAGACAAAAGCAGTAAAGAAGGAGACTAAATTCATCATTCAAGCCATATTCTCTTTTCTTGATTGCTCTACTATGGTCAAATGACAGACGGGTGGGATGCCATCGGAAATTCTTGTGTTTTTGCCAAATGGAAGTGCGTATCACAAAAACAATCCATTGCAACAATGGTGTGTCGACATTTTTATATCTGGTGTTTTAGGAGAAACGTTCCTTGTAGAAAGGGAAAAACAATGGATTATACAAAGATGCTCAATATCTCCAAACAGCCATCCATTGTGTTCCCACCGCCCAAATGAACTGCATAAAAGAGGGAAACTAATGAGAGTAAATTGTGCTTGTATCAAGGCACCATAGAAGCTGTTACCTCCTCAAACTTGTAGGCTATCATTGCGAAGGCCTTGAAGATGGCATCTGTTGGCCCAGTGATGGTGACTATCCGTTCGGGGCAGTTGCCTTCTGAGATGTTGATGCGAGCTCCACTCTGTATAGCAGCACAGGCTTGTCTATGAGCAAGAAACTGTACCTTGACTTACAAGTGCCCCAACTTACGACTTTGGAGAGTTGTTTATTTATTTATTGTGTGTTCTGAGGCAAATTTTGCTAAGTTGCTAGCCTGGTCAGAATACAAATTGAAGTCATAAATCAAGGCACCACCACCAATAGCTTTTACAAGAAGATGCCCGCAAAAAACCTTGACTTACGTCTTCACGCATTTTCTTCACCGTCTCCCCTTTCTGGAAGTGATAAAGTGCATTCAGAAGATGTGCGTATTATTTCTCAATCAAAGTATTTCATTGACATCCGATCTGATGGCATTTACCTTCCCAATGATGCTTCCAACCTCCTGCAGAGACACAAATGAAGAAGAAGAAAAACCTTTATTTGTCTCACAATAGAGAAATTTACAAATGCACAAAAATTTGACTTTGTTGGGGGGGGGGGGTCATCTGAATGCTTTTTGATATGTGTGTACTTCGAGCTCTGGTATCAAACCTTGCCGTGCATCAGCAGCCGAATGGTTAGGGTCACATTGAGTCCACCTTCTGATTGGACTTTAATGGGCTCCATGTTGGATTTGAAAAGGAAAGGGGTGTGGTCAAGTCAGAAAGGAGTTCGAGGGCCAGTGGGGTGTGAGGGTGCAGTCGGCCAATGGGTCACCTGCAAAGCAAAGAGGGATAACGTCAGACGTTAGCACTTTCAAATTGGGACAGTTCCCTGCTCACAATCCAGCTTCAGTTTTCTGCAGCGTACAATGTGCTCAACTTGAAAAAAAAAAAAAAACTTACAGCTCTGACGCCCCTTTGGAATGTAATATAATGTTTATTTTATTTTTTACTCCTCTTGCAATGCGATTCTATAGTGAACAGACTATTGGTCAACATCTTTAAACTGATCGAATGACTTGTTTAATTAAACAGGATTAAATGTGAATATGATTTTCCCATTTAAAGAAATGTCCCTTTCCACGGGACCTTTCAAATGGATTCATCGCATTTCAAACAGAGAATTTAGGCCTGACATGAGCCATCCAACGCATTTGTATTTTTATCAAATCCTTTTCAACAGCAGCTCTAATCTCGGAGTTGATTTCCGAGTGACGTCAGGCGCCACTTACAAGGATGAACACAAGAGGGCGCTCCCGACCACAATGTCAAGCGCGCAGTTAGAATGGGACAACACATCAAATGACTACACGAGTGGTTATTGAACTTGTTAGCGGTACCGAACCCAACCAGTACATATGCACATTCACCGAAAATTCATTAATGAAAAATAATGGTTTTTTTTACAAACTCAAGACATTAAAAAAAAAACAAAACATTTATTTAAAACAGAAAAAAGTAAACAATTAGTATGGAGTATAATTTTTAAAATTGTGCACAAAATGAACCACCCAGTGATGGCCAAGCAGGCGTATCATAACTAATTGACATATTGAGTTGGGTGTGTTTTAACCTCCATGGGTGAGGCTCTGTCGAACCCCTGAGACTGATTCACCGAAACCCTGGGGTTCGATCGAACCCAGGTTAAGAACCACTGGACTAGACGATCAAATGACACCATTTACCAGTGAAATGTGTTTTCTTTTAATCTTCAGCGGTGAAAGGCAGCACATTACATTTTAATTTGTTATGAAAACGTTGACGTTTACATTCATCACACTTCATATAATCCGTCATGGCACCTTAAATTGACACTCTCCTGTATATTTTTGTTGCACCAAAGATGCAAAAGAAAGATCAGGTCAGTAGGTGATGGGGAGTTGCAAGCTCAGTCGCGGTGTTTGCTACGTTGCTCATGGGCACTTGCCACAGCGTGACTAGAACTGAAGACCCTCCAGTTTTATGGATGAGCTGCAATACTGAATTTAACATGATTTTGATCTCACGATGTCAGACCTATTCGGAGAATTTCTTTTTTTCTTCTGCGGTGAGACAAAATGATGCTTGTTTAGAAATTGTGTGCGTGTGGGGGAGACCTCCTGATGCAGCTGAACTTGACATCTTAACCTGCCAATCAGAGGCGGAGATGAAAACACATTTACAGTTTATATCTCATCTGCCCCATCTTCATTTTACTACTGCATCTGTCTGTGTGCCATCTGTTAATTAGCAGCTTTGTACTCATATTGTCCGGCCCTGGCAGTCTTTTAATTGGAAGAAATCAAGATGTTTCTTGGTTAAAAGCACGGCATAGACAGATGTTTGCCAGAAAAAAAAGAAAGCTACTGATGTTGATTCCGCTTTGTTAGTACAATAATTGCAGGGCTTGATGTTGAATGATTAAGAACCCACTTAATGGCTAATCGTTGCATACATTCTTGGAAGATGGTTCCATTGCTATCTCGTGAACAACTTCTGCAGCTGTAGCACCCTCCTTGTAAACCAACATCACCATGTTGTGTTGGATCCAGAAATCATACCTCTGCTAAGCTATGCTGCATGCATGGCTTGGTTAGAGGCCAGGGGAGGACCAAGAGATAAGGACAGGGATTCTGTTGCCAGCTGTCTCTCCAATCTCCCAGAGGAGACCAGATTACATAAAAAAAAACCTTAATCCGCGTTTAAGACTTGATCCAGTGGTGCAGGTCCTCACCAGGGAGGGGGGAGGCAGAGCACATCTAAGTGCTGCAGAACGCACTCTGGAAGTTGCTTGATGTTTCAGGTTACAGTTTAGCCCGAGGGTCAGTGTCCTGTTCACACAGAGATGCATTTATTGGGGTCATAAAAATCATACCTTTAAAGATCTTCCTCAGATGTGATTAAATACCGAAAGCTGTAGATTGAGGTCAACCAAAAGCAAACCAAAACTCAAATTTGAATAGTGTTTTGAGCATTTATACCATGGAACAGAACTAGGCCAAGGCCCCATGAATCATTTGGCCCTTTTGGCGAAAACCTTGCAGCCAATGGTCTTTTCATTTTGAGGTCAGGTTTGGGAGTACAGTATTTGGCTTTTCTTTGACAATTCCAGTGCATACCATTTTACAAGTTTCCGCTAATAGTTGTCAATGTGCCTCCCCCATTTCTGACAGTCAGGCAGGAAGTTGGGGCGACGACACAATGAGGGATGGCAGGGAATTTTTCATGACATCTGATGGAGAAAGTGGGTCATGCTCGGTGTTGCAGCACTGTTAGCCTCCTCCTCTATGGCGGCCATTGAATTAATCACGCTTTACGCTCGGCTGGGCAACACAGTGCACAAAATGCACCATACCTCCTACACACACCCCTCGCCTTCCTCCCGAATTTCCCTGTGTCTGATTGCCATGCACAGAAAAGACTTGTGCATTGCTGTTGAAGAAAGATGAACCCGAGGCCTTGTCTCTTGATGTCTTGCCTTCCATTTCTGCTCTTGTAACAATGGTAACGTTGCTGCTTTTTATGAGGAGCTGCTGATGTGTAACTGATGCAAACCCGCCCCCTGGCTGGAAAGGACTGGGGTCATTTCATCCCCAAAGACCACCTCTCTTAGTTATGTTGGTGTTTCAGGAATGTTGCATTGTGGCGAAGGTGTCGTGTTGCCCATCATCGATATGCCTTGGTGTGAATATATTGCAAAACATGACGAGGAAAAGTCCTGTATAGCCCCGCCATATGATCCCATCTAAAGCCCCGGTCATCTGCCTAATCCATAAATCAAGGCAGGCATTCCATTTTGATGCTTTGATGCAAGGATGCAAAATATTGCAATAGCAAGAACGCCGACTGAATACTTTATATTAATGCCTTGAACATTCAGAGTATGTTCCTGGAAAGAGTTGTTGATCAAAATGCATGAGCTGTTTTTAAAAATCAATCATCCTGCTTTTATCTACCGCAGATGTTTGCATTTATAGATGAGGCAGCTCATCATTTGGCCCGAGGCGAGTGCGGCCAATGTGTTTCCTCATATAACTGAGGAGGTCTTTCGGATGTTTGTGCTCCAATTACGGGTGAACAAAAGGGAGCAGGGGGAGCCCTCTGGCTGACCTCATTGACAATTTTTTTTTCTAACACGGCATTCAAGAGATAATTTCATCTCTTCGAGTGAGGACCATCAGATTTTCATTGAAGATCTTCAATATGGGAAGCTTCCTTCACAAGTTCCCTTCACTGCTAGATGAGCAGCTCTTGTCTCGTGTGGGCTTTTGTTGCAAGTGGTACGATAGGATGAGAGTGGGTGGGTGGGGGGCATCCACCCAATGCTACAGCACTATGACAGTCCTTTCAAAAGCTGTCAGTCCACATCAGCGACCCAGAATCCCGATACCTCAGCCTCGATCACGATCAAAAGCTTCCTCAAAGACACTCACAGCAGAGCCAACTTGCAGCAAGTAGCGCTCAAAGTGTCTCAGAGTGTGTTCGCCTGCAATTGCCGCTGTGACGTGGCTTACAAGCATCTGTGCCGCACCGTCAAAGGCTTAACGATACAGGCGCACCATGTTGTGCTGTGAAAAAGCTGCGCGTCAAGTCGGCCATTTTAGATTTGCCATAATTTGCAATAAGTCAAGTAAGTCACGGGCTCCTGCTCGCTTTGGAACTCATTGACTTGGAGGTCTTTCCACAAGATACGTAACTGCTTCCAAATGTTGCTCATGTTTTTTAAAGTGCATTTTTCCAACAACAAAGCAGTCATTCATTGTGCCGCGCAAGCTCAGACCACATTTCAAGCTTAGCAAACATGGCAGCACTAATATCAACATGACGATAATTGGGATAACAATCACAAGCGACCCATATGTGCCTTTCAGAATGTCGCAGCGTGAGTCAAGCCAACTGTAGATAAATTCATACTAAATAAAGGCGATCATGCTTGAGCAGCATAAAAGCTCTTCTCAGTCAACTGCCCATTCTGTGGTAATTCTTTTGTGGCAAACAAAATATTTCCACCATTCATAGGATCCTCGTGGCACTGACGATAAGTTAAGAAAGCGTTAATAACATCTTTTCCAGATGATAAAATAAAATAATGGGTCCAAAGAGTCGAAGTGCATCTAAAAGGTCATGGTTGGGCTGGTAAATTAATCAATTAAATTAATTAATCCCGATGGCATCGGACAATTTGGTTTTCCGCTTACGCAGTTCGATGCTTCAAAATTCCAGCAACCATCGCTATAAATAAATAAATAAATATTAACGGTGTATCGAAAGATATAGATACTGTCCAATAATTTCAGGGGACAAAAATGAATTTACTAGATGAAAACAGCAAACACCAGATGTTGGCCCCCTATCGCCAAATCAACATTGACGAAAAAAAAACAATTTTACCTTTCTGTCGGGCAGGATGATGTCTACGACCGCCGTTGATGTAGCAAGATTAAAAATCGCAAAAAGGAAAATGATCCCCACCCTCTTCCTTTCGCTCTCGCCAGGACGAAGCGCCACCCAATTGGTCGATGCCAAAGGGTCACGTGAGTGACCAGGGGAACACGTGACCAATCTTGAAATTCTATGATTGCTGTGAATCTCGGCCATCCAAGTTTAGATGCTGCGGTGAGATTTGTTTGCCATACTGTTTGGTGTTGAGTGTAAATAGGCTATTGGATGACACGTAATCTGGGCGAGCGTCACCCACCGCCCTATCAAGACCCTCCACCTCTCACCCCCCCATATTTTTTTCCTGTAACAAAAGGAGGGCATGCATGCCCACTGAGGCACAAGGGCATTATTGGGACATATCTAGGGTTGAGGTGCTCTAAATCGGAACTGTGGCCTCAGGAAACGTTTGCGTGCACATGGGAGGGTCAAGAAGACCAAACTGCACTGAGTCCTTGTCACCAAAATGAACGGTCTTATTTCAAATGTGTCTTTTTGGGATAGTTGAGGAACTTTTACGCCTCAATCAGCCGAACACCTCAAAAGCTTGAGTAAACACCCGCTCTGCTGCAATGACATGCAGATCCTCTACAGCTCCTCTGCTTTTTAATCCGGTCGGCTATGTGTGTGTGTGTGTGTGTGTGTGTGTGTGTGTGTGTGTGTGTGTGTGTGTGTGTGTGTGTGTGTGTGTGTGTGTGTGTGTGTGTGTAGAATTATAGGTCTTGGGAGCCAGCCCATCCAGATTTACCAATCCAGCACAAATCCAGCCCTCATGTCAGATGGACATTTGTGCAGAGCTTAATCTGACATTATTAGGCTTGGATGCGGATGCGAGGAGGAAGCAAATGTTGTTGGATTAGGGGCAATGCAGACAATGAAGAACAGGTTTTGCCTCATTGACAAGAGTTTCCCCATTTCTCATCACAAACAATCCTGATACAAATTGGATTCTCCCTTTCATACCTGCACCATACAAATTTTAAATTGTGTGGTAATGCACCAACCCAACTGTAAAATGGCCCACGGGACAAACTACAAATAGAGCATTAAATTAGCTCGACACTGAATAACAAGTAGTGTGGGGGTGGATCATGTGTTGGTCCACCTTCACTACTCCAATCCTGAGCCACGGATGCTTAGCAGCGAAATGGTAAAAAAAAAAAAAAAAGCTCCTAACAGGTCCAGCCTGGGATTTTAGGACAAATTGGTAGTAGATAAAGGGCACAGCAGGATGTCGGAGTCAAGTGAGCCCTCTAACTTCACTGACCCCACCCTGCCCACCCTGCCTGCCAATGGCCTCTAGCAAGGTGATGGTCAGCCCCATTACCAACCACCCCACCCCAACCAGAACCTCACAGTCGGCCGCATTTCCTATCAGAATACTCGTGTCCTAATGGAGGCAGAAGGGTGTGAAGGACAGGGTGAGGGAAATGGCAGCCACAGTCAATCCCACTGATTGCTGTCCATGCAAGAGAGGCGACACAAACATTGAACTGGGATGACCCTTCTGTGTGCAACCAGTGCTGTGCAGTCACTATTTTAAAAAAGTTGTGGAAAAGTTATGAAGTGTGTGTACGTGTGTTAGGGTTTGAAGAAGGGGATGAAAATTGATGGTCATATTTAGGGGTGAAAAGGCTAGTGCTTTGAAATTGTTTTAAAATGAAGAACCGTAGGAGAAAAGAAGCGTTAAGGATGAACAAGATGTCAGACGTATATGCCATTGGGCAAGGATGCAGGGTGCTACCAAGAGTGTGCAGGGGGAAAATTAAGTCAATGTAATTATCCCGTGTGGAAATCAGGAAAAACCTTTTGAGTCCTTTTCATCTGGGAGGACAGTACCAGACAAAAGTTTGATAAACCCTTCAAATTCCAATGCCTTCAAACACATTGAGAGGTCAAAAAAATCAAGCTATTAATGCTTGATAATGTTCAGCTGTAAACTGAAAGTCATTCCAGGTTATAAAGCTTCATCTACATCATAAAGCTGACTGAGAAAATACCCAGCTTTGCAAAGCTGTTTCTTGGGCCAAAGGTGCCTACTTGGAAGAATCTAAATGATAAAACATCTTCTGTTTTGATAACGTTTTTTTTGGTTCACGAAATAATTCCATCAATATTTCTTCATAATGTCACTGACTTAAGTCTATAATTTAGGACATTGTTAAATAATGAAAAAAAAACACCAAATTAGAGGGGATTTCCAAACTTTTGACTGCTACTGCAATTCTTGGAGACTTGAGTGCATTAAAATCTATTATAAAATTATTATCCCGATAACATCTATATCAACCCGTATCAGTGATCATTTTGGTTACCAAAATCATGATGTGAAACTTTCATACCTTTTCATCTTTAGTCACGGAGGCTTTATAAGCTGTTTGTGACACACTTTACTCTGCAATATTGATTTCCCACAACCAGCACAATCATGTAACTGTAATTGACGTCGGAAGCATGGACGAAAGCCAGCCATTGGGCAACAAATACGCAATCATCACTGATAGTATTGAACTTCTTGATAAAAGTAATGTAAGCATTGTTTTCGACACGTTGGAATTCAGCGCTGCAGAGGCAAGTCTCTGTTTTGCCTCTGCATCGTTGCAGTAAAGGCATAAAAAAAGGGAAAGAAATAGAATCAAGATTACAGTTTGAATCACATCATTCTCCACCATTAAACATTCCCTTGGGGAAAATTCTGTTTTAGAGAATCTCGAATACTGGTGCAACTTTTTCAAATTCTCCTCAACAAATTAACGGTACATGTAGATTACAATTTGTTGTATCAGTAATCTTTAACAACAAAATACAGTTTGGCAGAAATTGCTGTATTTTTCTGAGTGTACAATGAAGTGGCTCAAGATGTACCAGATGTATTAAAAAGTAATGAAAGAGCTGGATTCAACTCTAAATAAATGTAAGCTGGCATTTTCCTTTGTGTAGACTTTATTCCCGTTGGCCACGATCAGAGCACTCCAGTGCATAATAAACTCGTCCTCTAAAAGCATCCCTTGTACCGCTGATGCAACCCAATACAAACTCCAGTTTCCTAATGGAAAATAGTGCCTGACCCTTTTTGCTGGAGCACATAATGGGTCCTCTTTGCCTGCTAGCAAAAACCAATGTTGTATTCAAACTTCTCTCTCTTTGATTTTTTTTTTTTTTTTTTTTTTGCCGGCTTGAAAAACTCTATGTTCAGGCTTTGTTCGAGCACAGAAACATGACACACCATCAAGTGACAGCTACGTTTTTGTGTGTGTGTGTGTGTGTGTGTGTGTGTGTGTGTGTGTGTGTGTGTGTGTGTGTGTGTGTGTGTTTATAGGTAACACAGGAATCCTTTATTGAACAGCACACAACGTGAAATAACTCAACTGCAATTTAAAAAAAAAAATACATTTACCATGCATGGGGTACAAGTGGTTGGCACATCCGCCTCACAATCCTAAAAGTGGGGGTCCAAGCCTGGGCTCAGGCCTTCCAGTGCGGTGTTTGTTTGCTCTCCTTGTGCTTGCTCCAACTTCCTCCTACTTTCCAAAACTATACATGAGCTTCTTTAAAGACTCTAAAATGCCCTTAGGTGTGATTTTGAGTGTGGACGGTTGTTTGTCTATATGTGCACTCCTGCCCAAAGTCAAATGAGATTGGCTCCAGATCAACCGCAGACCAAATGAGGAAAAGCGCTAAACAATATATTTTGTAGGCCTCCTATTCTTTTATCACCACTGTTCAGTGCTCTGATCAGTGGTTGCTGTTTTTAAGATAAGATAAGATAAGATAAGAAAACATTTATTAGTCTCGCAATGGAGAAATTCCCAATTCACAGCAGCAAAGTTATGAATGGAAGAATTTTAAAAACGCTACATGACTAAAGTCAGCTTGGCAAGTAACCTTCTCTTCCTTCCCATAACCATCTGGGTGAATGTGAAGGTGCAGCACTTACTTAAGAAAGATGATGTATGTTGGCTCCATTGCGTGATTGTCTTTCTTGTATTACAGGACCGAACTCTGCTGGTGAGTCATAATAAATGCGTCATGAGCAAAATATTTTCATCAACACAGCACATGGGCTCTCCTGGAACAATCCCAATAGGATTTAGTGTCCACCCATGGGATGAAATCTGACACGCTAAGGTACAGGACACATGCAGCTGTGAAATCAGAAGACGATGATGATGATGATGATGATGATGATGATGATGATAATAAGCATGGCACCCATGTGCTTAACTGTAGCCATATGAGCCAGGGAACTATGGTCTGACCACCGCACGGTCAGAAGTATAGCAATGCATCGTGAACTAATGGAAAAAGGTACAAGTGGGAAGGCAAACAGACGACTGGTGCATTGCAGTGGTGGAGCAAACCATTTCTTTTGCTCATCCAACGAGTGCTGTGATAGAAATTGGACCTGACCATGCCAGAGGCTGGAGATGAGACACTCTGGCACACACACACACACACACACACACACACACACACACACACACACACACTCAGAGTAACATCATAAACCTCAGAAGGACAGCCTTTGACGTTAGCAAACTTAGAGGGCCTGCAGTGCAGAAGCCCAAGACACAACCTCGGGCGCCTTGAGTGGCTGCAGAGTTGGCAGAACAAGCCGGAATTGCTGCAAATGATTGCATGTTCACTGTAAACATTTATGAGCTGGAACACAAGCATAAATGAAGAAATGCTTGCATGCATTTAAGGATTTGTTTTGGGTGATTGATACATTGAAAGGAAGAAGAAAAATCCTGTGTCTCGTAATTGTACGACGGGTTTATTTGATGAAATCTTCTCACGTGAATACATTGACAGCAGCATAGTGGTTGACTGATTAGCACGTCCGCCTCACAGTGCTGAGGCGCAGGGTTCGATTCCGGTTCTGGCCTTCCTGTGTGGAGTTTGCATGTTCTCCCCATGCCTGCGTGGGTTTTCTCTGGGTACTCTGGTTTCCTCTCACATTCCAAAAACATGCATGGCAGGTTAATGGGCCACTCTAAATTGTCCCCAGATGTGATTATGAGTGCGAATGGTTGTTCGTCTATGTGTGCCCTGCGATTGGCTGGCAACCAGTTCGGGGTGTACCCCGCCTACGGCTCGAAAACAGCTGGGATAGGCTCCAGCACGCCCGCGTTCCTCAGTGAGGATAAATAGATTAGAAAATGCATGGATGGCTGGATAATACATTGACTTTGGGGATTTAGCGGCCTCGAGCGGTTACAATGCAAACTGCAAACATAGCAAGCTCCCACTGGTGAGGCCATACAGCTGAAACCTGACTGCAATAAAAAAATATTCCCACGATTAACAGCCTCTTCTGCTTTGCATGATGCTTTATTCACATTTTCAATACACCAATAAGAATTCTTCAAATATCCATGAAATGATAGATAGAGGGGCTGCAATCTCCCTCGCTGATTCCTGGCATGGCTGACCAGTCTGCAAGATAATCATTCAGATCACATCTGCCACACCCCTTCAACCGGCCCACCCCATCTCCCCTATGCCTTCTAGCTCAAGCTGCCATTGTGGCACAACCAGTTGCTTTGACAAAGGACACAAGTTACCTTGGGTGTCAGAATGGCTAAAGCCGTCATGCTTTCAATCGATTGCAAGTGGGTGCGTTTGGAGGCTTTTTTTTTAATGCATTATTTGGTTGCTGTATTTACGTGACCAAATTTTCTATTGCTTCTGGCCATACACTGTATTATGTATATGTGCAATTGCTATGTGGAACCCAGTTTGATATGCTGAAGTTTGCATATGTGAATGTGCAGACAGGTGTGTTGGCCTGAGTCCGGCTGCAAATATAGTATACAGATGAATAATTAAATCTCCCCGACACAGATTATAATTGCCTATATTAAAACTTTAAACCATAAATATACCACAGTCAAAGATCCAAAAGCACTTTAATATCATTTCAAATGTTTGCAAAACATGTTGATACATAACCGTACAAGCATAGCACAACAAACACTTAGCAGATAAGGACATACATGTGCACCATGTATAGTACTTGTACAGTATGTGCATGTCAACAATTATGATGATTATGATGATGAATTACTGTAACAGTGCAGTCCAGTGTACACAGTTAACTAGTTCACTGACAATCAAAGCACAGTTAGATGGATGGAGGCGAGTGGCGATGCTCTGTGGGGCAGCGTGTTCTGCTTTGAAGCCAATGTAGCAGTTAGCGCTTCTGTGTTTACTGAGTCGATACCGGTGGACCTACACAATGAAATCACAAATTGGCAGTCCTAGACAAGTTTTGCGATGTTCTGCCAAGCAGTAGATATGGATTACGCAGCGTCATATATCCTTTTGTGTGTTTAGTCATGGTGTGGCAAAACTACCATTTTAACTATCAGTTTATTTTTTGGCTTTGTTACGACTGACAGCCAACTACCATTGTTTACATTAAAAAATGCATATAATACAAAACTAAGAAAATAATCTTCCTGCTTTTTTTTTTGCCAAACTGCGTATAGACACGTTCTGACCACGAAAAACGGAGTTCCCAAAGAACACTATTTGAGTTGGCAAAGTTGCGTTGCCAAACTGCAAATATGTGGTGGTCCACTCCATGCTGACAAAATGGCAATTGGAGATACATTTTGTAACATGTTTTAACAACTGTACAGGTGGATCTGTAACTACCGGAAAAATAGCCATCAGAAAATACACTGCCTCACTGTCATATAATGTAGCACCTCCCTTCAATAAAAACAGCTCAACACTGCTAGGATGTAAAACAGCGCACATTTCAGTTTAGTCATCCTGCTGGATGTCTGTGGGCTCACGTTGGATGGCCGCTGACTAAAAGTGACTTTCCTCACGGCCACAGTACACACAGCAGCACAACACCATATGTGGAGCTACTCAATCTATGCATGGCTGCCTCCCTTAATTAGCAGAGAATAAAACAAATCAAAATAGCCCTTGAAAATTCAAGCTTCTTTTCACCTCCCTTAAGCAAAATTACATTTTCTTGCATGTGGGTTGATCAGGCTAAATGTGTGAAATACACGAACATCATAACATGTCATTTAAGATGCAAGCAGACACACAAAAAATAAATTAGAGGCATGATGCAGGTGTCATGTCAGGCTATTTTGCTCATAATTTTTCACAATGAATTATAAGTAATAAGACACCATGAACCATTCACCTGTGAAGAATTAAAATGAGCCTCGAAGCTTCGCAGCTATTTTTTTGTTAACCAGGGATGCATTTGTTTTTCATGACCTTCTATCTTAAAATTCAGTAGTATTAGATTCACATTAACCTGAATCTCCTTTGATCTAAAGTAAATGTTGGCTGTGGGGAAAAAAATACAATATATGTGTATGTAAAAATGACATCCATCCATCCATCCATCCATCCATCCATCCATCCATCCATCCATCCATCCTCATTGGGGTAATATTTGCCGTAAATATTTGGAATAAAACTACTTCCAGGCCATAACTACAAAAGAAATGAAAAAAAAAAAGTAAGTGTAGCAGTAACTGAGCATTCCTTCTTTTGCAGCTCGGCTGTAGTTCTTTTTGTATTGTCTGATGCTGATCTTTTTTGTGATTAAGGCTGTAAATACATATAAAAAACGGAATATGAATGTAAACATGGCACAACCTGAATTAAGTAGCCTCTCCTGCACTGCATTCGTGTGTTGTACTGGAATTGGAGGATGACGCGTTGTGAAGTTGCTGGACTCACGCAGAAAACCTTTGCATCGCCAAAGGTCATCCGATTTTATAAAGGCTAACAGCGCCTCCTGCTGGAAAATGTTGGACAACAGCAATCCCATTCAGGCGTCGATTTTACTCTGCGGGAAGTCGGGCGAATAAAGCAACAGGAATTTCTTTCCTGTTGCTTTAATTTGAAGCAAAACAATAGATTTGAGTCATATCTATTGTCAAATCACCGATAAGGTCATTTGACTAAACCAGCAAAAGAGATTTGCCGCGGTTGTCAAGGATCTCTGGAAAACATCAATGAGGAAATAATGAAAAGCAAGCGTTTCTTTTGCATTGTTTATTATCATGAATCTTTCATTACTCACAAGCATTTCGGGGCCGTTTTCCCTCCGTGCAACCTTTTACAAAAGATGCTCATTAGCATACTCGAGAAAACAAAGCTTTCAAGTTGCCAAAATATTCTCTCCGGAGTTTGGAAAAGGCACTTGCAGCAAATTCAAATTTGAACAACATACAGTACCACTGAAGGTCATTTTTTCCAATCAAGACTCACCCATCTCTAAAAGTCCCCAAAGTATCCATCTTGTCCCCGCTTGCAGCAAATCAATCTAGAGGAAGACATTTTGCAGACCTGCGGGTGTTTGCAAACAAGATGGAAATGGAGACGCCTCCAGCATCTAGAAAGACGACCTGGAGGGGAGGGTGGGAGTCTCCCGTGTCATGATAAATTATTCATTCATCACCGGGGTGTGTTCACAACACATCTTAAAATTCACAGGGGAAAAAATGAGAAGCCACTTCATCTCTTTTTTTTTTTGGTTTATGAAATAATTTTAATCATCAGTACCTTTTGCCATTAAAAACAGCTGTGATACTTTTTTTAAAAAATACCTGACTAATTCTTAGGTTTGTTTTAACACGAGAGCAGAACAAATGCAGAACGCGGTGATGTGGGTTTCGATGGAAAGAAGCGCTGAATTAAAGATCTTTGATGGCATCATCTGCAGCTGAGTGCCCACGCACACTTATACGCTCACGGACACCCGCACGCGCACGCACTCGCACACGAACACACACATGCATACAGTAACACGCACACACTCTTCCTTCCATTCACTCACCACACGCATCCTCCCTCATTCTCACGCATTTCCCATTAAGTGTCGGACGCAGAGCAGCTATGGGCTGGATGCATCCCCATCTTTTGTCCAAATCGAATCCACTGCATATGTCGCTCTTTTTTTTTGGACCAATCCACAATCCGCTCTTCTCGCGAACAAACAGCAGTCCTCGCGTTTACCTGTTCTAAACGACAGAAAGAAAAGAAAAGAAACCGGGCAGACTTGTGGCCGCACACTCACTGATCGACAGTGGCAGAGTGGACAAGAGGAAAACCACCCAAGGAGAAAGACTCGGCGCATCTCCGCCCCTACCCCCCCCCCTTTATTTAATTTAGATTTTTTTTTTAACATTACTTTCTTTCGAAGCTGACGTCTGGTAGCCCGTGGTGACCTTGAGAAGAAACATCTCGTTAGTGTTCCCAAAAGGTAGAGGTGGAAGGTGCGCGCCGAGTATCCAGACGTGTGCGCGCACTCACGGGAGGTGATGACCGCCTTCCATCACCTGAACACCAGGCTGCTGCCGCTCATGATAATCATCATGATGATGATGGGATGCTTGATCGTTGACGGAAGTAAGTGTCTTGTCTCTGTCATCGTCATCGTGTGTTTGGCTGGAATTAGTCCGGTAGTGGCTGATATAGGCTACTCAAATACACAAACGCATCGTGTCATATATGCAGTGATTCGCATTATACTGCGATTATCACGTTATGTCAATTCCGCTGAACCCTTTAATTAACCTTTGAAAAAGCAATAAGAATCCGTTTTAAGGACCATACTGTCGCCTACTTGCTTGCAGCTTTTCCATTAGATGGCAGAAGGTACCATAAACCAGTGGTTTCACCTGTTGCCTTTCAAACAAGAGAAAATGTCATGTCTTCCCGTGATGGTATGGGCTTTGTGTTCAAATATCAGGCCCATAATTCACAGTGAGCAAGTCATTTTGTGAGTAAATTGAGATGAGGTCAGTACAATACTTATTGATGTGCCATGACATTCCACTACATGCAAAAATGCGTGCCTCGTCTTAGTAAAGGCTTGGAAACACAATAGACCACCTGTCATTAGCATCATAAAGCACTTTAAAGCAGACTCTTTCAACTGTAGTGAGCTTTCAATGTTAAAGTATACCATTATGAATTACAAACTGACTGTGTACATATATACAGGACACATATGACTTTCTGGGTTTCTCTGAGAAGTCAGAAATGAATCAAACATAACATTCCGTCATCCAAACTTTTTTTTTTTTTTTAAACTGTTCAGCAACACAAGTAAATTGGACATCTTAATTTTTTTTTTTTTTTTGGTAAAACAATTTTGAACATACATGAATAAGCAGAAGTGTATTTTAGGATTAAAATGTAATTTCTGTTAAAGCGCTTCTAGATATTGGGGTATTAATAGCGACAATAGTCAAAAGAGTTTTGGTAATTAGTTATGCTGTTAATTTAGGGCAGCTGTTGCATAAACCTGGTCTACCCACATGATAATACATGAGCTACTGCAATGTATTCTGGGAATTGTTGTATCATTGCATTCAGTTAAAAAAAAAGTGCATTTCATCCATTGTAATTATAGTGTCATCAGTGGTTATATTTTTGAGGGTTCTATGATTAATTGTGGTGTGTCCGATAACATCTAAAAAGTGTCGAAATACGCCCACGGTTGTATTGGGAGTCAAGTTAACCAGCAAAGGAGACAAGACATCAGACAGGGTACTCCCCAGATGCATCAGCTTGCCTGACAAGAACTCATTGATGCAACAAACAGCAGATGCTATAACATATATTTGAAGCAGCTTCTCACCCAGTGTAGTTTTTCTTAGTGCAGCCTGATTGTTTTGTTTAACACCAATGATACTTTGTGTGTATAGGTACAGTATTAGTTCATCAATGTTTTTTTTTTCTCAGAGAAGTCAGAAATGCATCAAACACAACATTCCGTCATTCAAACTTTTTTGGCCTCTGTGTAGAGCAGCTCTTTCCCATGGAATCTTCTTCAAGTCCAGTAGCATCCACTTGTTTTTGAGTCAAGTAGGTACTTTATGGCTTCATATCTCAACTAGAAAAACAGCTGTGGTAATGCTGTCAAAACGGTAATTGATTGTCCACCAGGGAGATTCCAAAGGCATATCTCTTGCTGACTGGCTCAACATCAACAGGTGTTTAATTCATTCGGTCAGCCTTCCGCTTTCTTGACACTCGATTGAGCAAAGCATCCGTGTCAGATGAGTCCATCAATGGAGACCAGGGGGACGCTAATCTGCATTCGTGAATGTCAATACAGTATTGATTCAGCAGAGGAAGTGCTTTCAGGGTTCAGACTTCACATTCTTTAACATAAACAAGGTGAATAATCTTCCCTCAGAAGCATCGGCGCCTCCTGGAGATGTTTTTCCATTTATCCACCGATCCATTTTTTTATACCACTTACAGTGTCATGTTGAGGGTTGTGTGGAGCTGGAACCTATCCCAGCTGACTCTGGGAGAAAGGAAGACCACACCCACAACTGGTCGCTAGTCAATCAGAGGGCACATGTAGAGACAGTCCATTCACGTGCGTCACTATTGAGTGGGAACTGCACCCGCGCTGCCTGTACAAAGCCAAACAAGTGAACCAATACCTCGGCATTGACTATAAGATTTTTTGCAGGATCCATTGCAAAATCTGTATAAAAAAAAATCTTCCATGACAATGGGAAGTCCAAACTTTGTTTTCCGGTGGCTCTGAAAAAACAATCTTGCAGATCTCCACATCCAGAGCCAAAACAAGAACAATCTGTTGAAAGCTACAATAAATATTTTAAAAACAGCATCAAATTGAGGATTATAATTAATGTGATTTATTCACAAATTCGATTACATGGAGCAAAAAGTGGAAGAAACCATTTTTGCTTCTGAACCGCAATTAGCTTTATCCAGTTATGGAAAAGCAAAAATGTTTCAATTTTAGTTATAAATAGCCTTTGTGTGCCTTTGCATATTTAAAAATGCTCTCTAAAATCAATCATTATGTATGTTTGTCGTAGTGATAATGGAAGTATACTTTGAAAGTACCGTACATTGAAAAAAATGGTAAATGTTCTCAATTTTAGTTCGTCAAGTGGTTGCATAAAATAAAATCATCTGGATCCAGATGCATTTTTTAAAGTAGACGATATGACTGCTGAAAAAATGTATCTAGATACAGGTGAGTTTAATTTGTGCAACCACTTGACAAAATAAAATGGAGTATTGAGTATATATGGAGTATGGAGTAATTTTTCAGTGTGGCGTGGCAGGCCATATCAAATATTATATATCCTACACTGGATTTTTGTTGCTGTTGCTGAATTTACTGCATTTTATTTCATCAAATAGTTGCACAAAATGCAATCCTCTGGATCTAGATGTAAAAATGATTTTATACCTGGATTCAAATGATTTTATTTTGTGAAAAAACGTTTGATGAAATGAAATTGAGTAAATCCAACACAATTTTTTTTCAGTGTATATGCCACGGGCTGCTACAAAAAAAAAGTATCTTAGACATCACTGCTTTACCAGGCGTCTAATGTTTCATTGACTGAATTTCAGAGATGTAGTAAATGAACAATAGGTTCATGATTGCGGTAGTAGTTTGCAGTGGTGGAAAAGTACACTGCGGCATGGTGAGAGGTGGTTGAGAGAAGATTTGCAGCGCTCGTTGAACAAATGGAATGGTGGCTAAATGTAAGGCGTCGCGTCAGCAGTAGCTGTGACACAGGAACACATTTTGGAATGATCACCAAGTTTCTGTCAGCCATCAAGAAGGTCCATAAAAATCCAATCTCATTTCTTGATATAGTGTATCTACATCAGCATGCGCAGCTTTCATTGTCTTTAGGGGAAGCCGCGCACGCACATTCATCCTTCGCGGAGAGCCATTAGCCAGATGAGGCTGTCCCAGTCGATCAGCAAACTGGTTCTTCCCTCTGATTGAGAGACTGCAGCTTGAACAGACCACACAGAAAGTCAACAAGTAAACAAAAGTCACAAGGTTCATGTCTTTTTTTTCTGTATCAAGAGGAAAAAAAAAAGTCAAAAGGAGGCTAAATTTGAAGTGCTTGATATTCTGTCATGCTAGTAAGCAACGAAAGGCTAACTGAAAGTGAAGAGGCTTCGCCTTTTTAAGATGTGAAATCAGGTTGTATTTGTCATCCAGAGTTTTACAAATTATCAATGAGCAGAAATATATCATTTGCATGCAACATGGAGGCTGGTGAAGGGTTACTTGTGTGCTTCTGCTACTGCACTTTTACATGGTTTCATTGATCAATACGTGTGGTTTTCCTGCCACGTTTTTTTCCATCTCTTGCTTTTTCATGACTCTCTCCATTATTGATCTCATCTCCATCGTAGGTCATCCATCTCACTTTGACTCGTGTTTTTCTCTTTCCCATATCAAAATATTGAATTCTTTCCGTGATCGTAGTCAGTGTGTCCATGTCATGTTCTGCCAATGTTCATCCTCCATATCTGTCTGTGTCTGACTCGTTCTCATAATGGCCTCATGGGAGCGTGTGTGTGCGCGTGTGTGTGTGTGTGTGTGTGTGTGTGTGTGTGTGTGTGTGTGTGTGTGTGTGTGTGTGCGTGTGTGTGTGTGCGTGTTGCAACTTCAATACAGGGGAGTGTCAGAATTTTGCTGCCATGATGTGATGAAGTTCAGAGAATGCTTTGTAAGCTAGTCACAGATGTATGCTTGCCAATCTGTTTTCTCACTTCAATGGGGATGCTTAAATCACACACGCCAGTAGCCTTTCTTGATTAGGAATTATAGGGGGAGTTTTCTATTTTTCTAATCATAATTTTTTTGTCATATTTGGACCAACTGTCAGTATAAGCCAGAACTGAAATGATCAGTCAGCACAAAAAAAAAAGGGGGGTCTAAACCACGCACTCATGTGTTAGCATAGACTTTGCCGAAACTATTGTGGAAAATCTACAATGGAAAAAGTTACCCCATCTATCATAAATACTCTGTATAATCCAGAAAATATTCACACGAGTATAAAATTGTGTGTGTGTGTGTGTGTGTGTGTGCGTGTAACCATGGCAACAGCTGCGCCAGCTCCCCCAGTGAACGTGTCGGTGACCCAGCTTCGAGCCAATTCGGCCAGGGTGACCTGGAACGTGCCTCTTGGAGACACCGTGATTGGCTATGTCATCTCGCAGCAGGTACTTTCTGTTTGGAGATTTCATTTTCCGGGTTAGGTGAGGGAGAGATGGAGGGAGGCGGTTGCCGCTGATTGGCCAACAGTCGAGTTCAGGGTGTACGCCACCTGTCGTGGGGTCACCAAGATGAAATTGTTGTCACATGCCTCATTAATCCCAATCTGTCCCTAATTCAAATCACCATTGTCTGCTCTCATTTGTGATTGCTTGAAGGTCAGTGGGTCTGTTTATCTTAGAAACCAAACATCCTCGTCAGGGAAATAAGGAAAAAAATGGAGCCGACCACTCGTTTTACTTTTATTACCCAATGAGGTCTAGGAGAAGAGCTCATAAATCAGGGATGTCCAATCTACAGCCTGTGGCTAATTTTTTTAGCTGCTTGTGCCACATACTAATACTCATCTATGCAAATTGCATATCCTGTATACGTACAGTATACAGTGGGCACCGTGGCCACTAGGGTTAGAGCACCGTCGGGTTTTAAACCAGGGTTAGGGTTTCTATGTGGGGTTTTCAGTAGGTTTAGGGTTTCAAATGAGGGATTTAAAGTAGAGATAAGGTTCCAAAGTAGGTGATAAAAATAGAGTTAGGGGTCAAACTTGGAATTTTAAATGAGGGTGTTAAAGTAGGGTTGGGTTTCAAAGTAGGGTTTTAAACAAGAGATGGGCTTTTAGATTAGTGTTTCAAACTATGAGTCAAGTCGGAACTTTGAAGCAGCTCAAAATCAATTTTTGCTTTCACACGCTGCAACATGCCGAGCAAGAAGGAGAAGCAGGACAAAGAAATCTGCAGACAAAGACTTGACTTGCTTCTGCATTCATTTCAAATCCCAAAGCGGCCGCTGGCTCTTACGCAAGTCTCTATCTCCCTGACGCACACACACACACACACACACGCGCACACACACACACACACACACACACACACACACACACACACACACACACACACACACACACACACAAAAGTCCGTTTCGGGGATGCAAAACTTTTTTTCTTGTTGTGTGGACAAGTCGTTGAGCTTTTTGTGTGTCTGCTCCAAATTGCAAACTACATTGAGTACACAAGAATGCAACCTCTGGGTAACTGGCAATGATAAACACACGACACTCTTTTTTTTTTTTTTTCAGAACAATAAGTCTTCACTTTGAAGGTTAGGCTCTAATGCTCGAAATTGATTTTTTGTTCTTTGAAAACAATTATTGTGACACTCGCTTGCCTGCAGATAAAACCCGTGCCTCCCATTTACTTTTTCACAAAGGCATTTAGAGCTGCACTGATTCGATGTGTGTGTGTCATCCGCAGAGGCAAGATGGCCTGATGCAACGCTCCATTCGTGAGGTAAACACATCAAGTCGATGGTGTGTGCTGTGGGACCTGGATGAGGACACACACTACAGCGTGCAGGTGGAACACACACACATTCTCATCCCCTCTTCACGGCAACATCTTGATTTCCTTATCGTTGCAGTTGTGCCCATGTGACTCCGCTGCTGTGACTTTGCAAAACTTTTTATGACCTTCATCATCTTGCCCAGGGAGCATTTGCAAGATTCCGCTTCTCAACTCTTTGTCTTATTGCCTTTGACAGAAAGTTGTGATGTGGAAGTTTTCATAATAGATATATTGTGATAAGAACAATAGAAAAAATATAGAGTGAAATTGTATATCTTTACCTCCAATGCAGGGTTCTTTTTAGTGTGTTTCATTCATGAAAGGTGAAGAATTACAAAGTCTCCCTTGGAGCCATTTTTCCTCTCTTGGGCGCTCCGGGATTTATTTTGGACATCCCTGAACTAGAGCTTCTAGGCTGACATTGTACTTGACACGAATTGGATGACGTGGACAGTAGTCATCAGCAAGCACGTGTCCTGCAGAAGTGTCATTGAAAGCTCATCTATCACAAGCGGTTTGAACACATTGGAGGGCAAAGCGCAATCACCCTCCATGCGGGAATCCCTGAAAAAAAAAATGACTGGACTGGAGTATTGTTATTATCAAGGACCAATTGACAGATAAGCACAAGGACAGGAGAACACAGGTTATTGTGTTTTACCGTGAGGCCGTGCAATCCTGTTTTTAACCCTGGAGAACCCAAGAACCTTTTTTTTCTTTGGAAAATGATTAATTATACATTAAATTACTGCTACAAATTCACTGAACACCAAAATATATGTTTTTTCAAATATTTAATGCTTTAATCCTAATTTAGGATTAGGGCCAAATTTGACCCTTTGGGATTTAAGGATATCTCCAGGGTTAAAGGGAAAGTCAACACCCAAATATTTCTTTACACTAATATGTTCTATGCAGCCCCACTTGTCTAAACACGAATTTCTGATTAATATTACGTTTGTGGAATATGAGTTAAGCAGCAAAATCCACCTGTTTTTGTCTATCTCAAGGGGCAGGCATTTTGCCACATGCTGTCGCCTGAAAATGAGATCACGATTGATCAGGGTTCTGTGTCATTTTAGCTGTTGTGTCGAAATTACTTGAGGCTTGTCTCAAGGGCTTCTGGTGAGCTAGAAGGATTTTGAAATTAGAAGTTCTTGTCCACCTGTTTGGCAACTGCTTAACAGCCTCTGAATATGGTTTCACGTGACGGTGTTATTCTGAAAGCGTCGTTTGAATGTTTTGTCTTCACACAAAGGTAGGGAGAATTCGTTTCGAAAATAGCGATATGCTTAGCCCTGAACACACACTTTATGCCCACATGTGAAGACACAAAACCTTGAAATTATATTTGTGTTCAGGTGCAGTCTGTTGGACTCCATGGCGACAGCCAACCCAGCCGCGCCATCCATTTCAGGACCTTGGAAAGAAGCGACCACTACCCTGCTGGAGTGCTTGACCACCGTAAAGTGGAGTTTCTTCTTTCGTGAGGCGTAGCCCAATCAGCTTGATTACAGTGATTCTTAATTAATCCTTTCACACCAAGTGCCATCTCCAAATGTACTTAGCTCTCCAACTACCACCGCAATGACCACCATTAAAATAGCGTGGTCAGAGGTTTTATTTCTCAAAAAAAAAAATGTATTTGATATTATTGTAATCCACTGAAATATTATGCACAGTTTGTGCAAGATTTACACTGCGCTTAAAATGGCAGAAAATAAAACTGCATTGTATTGGAAATGAAGATATAATAAAAACTGTACCCAAAATAAATATTTGAAAACAGCTCTAAAAAGATTAAATCCAAATGCATTGTACTCAAAAGTTATTTTTAAGCGAACTCTCCACAACAAATGTTACTGCAGAAAAAAAATTAATTCATTGATTCTTCCATATATCATGAGCAGTAGTACTGCTAGTACTACACCAGCGATGGGCAACATTTTGTATTAGATTTTTTTTGCAACCACTCCCCCAAAAGCGTTCAAACTCTGACAAAACTTGAACAAAGATTTTCTGTGGAAAGCAGGTGAGAATGGAGTTAAAAAATCCTGGTGAAAATAGGAAAAATCCAAAATATGAAATAATTTTGGAAAAAAAGAGCTATGAATATGCAAATCCATGGGTGCCGAACTGCAAATATGCAGAGGTTGACAGAAGTTTCAAGTTGTAATATCACCAATCACCACTAGAGAGCAGACATGCCCCTTATACTGAGGCTTCAACTGAGTGACTTGGCCTCATAATTTTTTTTTGTGGATTTGGAATAACATGCAGGACAGACAGAACCTCAGTATTAAAATTTAGAGTGAGTTGATTATTGTGAACAAAAGTACAAAATGAGCATTGTTACACTTAATGTTGGTTCCTTATTCTGTAGGTTTGCGCCTTCCTTGAACGGGAATGTTTATGCCTCTCTGCACTGGACTTAAAAAAAGTGTGCGTGTCCTCAGATGAACCAGCAATGGAGGGTTTGGGAATGTCGCCTCACTTGCAGACTGGAGAGCTGCTCATAATCACCACAGTGCTGCTGCTATGGGCAGGTCAGCTTCTCTCCTCTTCTCTCTGCTTCTTTGTACTTGTGTGTCTCACATAACCACCTCAACTTGTTATGTGTTCACATGTCTGCATCTTTTTGCCGTAGCTGTTATCGCCCTGTTCTGCCGCCAGTACGACATCATCAAGGACAGCGACACGAATGGTACCCGAGAAAAGACCAAGAGGCCGCTGGTTCCGGTTGCTTCCTCCTACTACAATGCCTCTCCCACCAGCTCACCCATCTACCACAACGGTGCCATCCACAGTGGCAGGGTGATTCCTTTATTGCTGCAAGCTTGTTCCCCCAGCGTTCTCCCCCCCCCCCCCCCCGCCCGCAAAGCTTTCTTTCCGCAGTACCTCCGCGATGCATTACTGGCAGCTGAAAGTCTTGCTAAGTAGAACAGCCTCTGTGGGTGCTTCACAGATCTCTTAGCAACCACCGTTTTTGTCATCATGGCTAAATATAAAACACGTAGGCTGGAAACGTCGCATTACAATGCAGTATTGCAACAGAGTCTTTCCATTGGCATTTTTATGTGTATCTGTAAAATTGCTATGGCGCCAACAACTGCATTCCAGGAAAATTATGTTGCTTTTTTTCCCCCATTTTTCCATACTTTTGTCTTCTCAACTGGCAGACCACCACGCTCAGAGAACATGAAAAATTTACAACCTTCATTTCGAAACCTCACAACTGGGAAAGAAAATGAAGCTATATTTTGCAAACACGGTGCAGAGAGAAATAATTCACACAACTTTCAGTTTACTTGCCGTGAAACAATGACAAACTGTCATTGAGCAGGGACCCCATGTACAAAAACGCGCACAAAAACGTTTATTCCATGCTGACATTCAGATGCACCAAGAGTGAAATGACCGTGGGACTGTGCTTCATGCCAACTACATGGCTGGCATATGTATGTTTTTATTTCTGTAGTGCTGTTGCTGTTTAGTTAGACAGGCAGGCAGATAGATAGAGAGAGAGAGAGAGAAAGAAAAAAAAGTGAATAGTGAGTGTACTTCACACCCGTTGAAATGTATTGTTCAATCAAAAAAATCAGGTAAACAGTCAATATATGTTTCCAAAAAAAATGGGAAGAAATTGGGGAGAGAATGGAAAAAAATACAGTATAATAAAACTTTGAAAAATGCTGGGAAGTAATGGGGAAAAAAAATCTTTGAATTAGTGGATGTTGAACCGCAATTATTCACGGGTTGACTTTTATGATATTTTTGCCCAATGTGTAATGAGAGAGAATAAAGTTGCACCTTCCGTAAGCTTTATGTCAAAGGAGCTTATTGTAGCTCTATTTTAATTAAAAGCTAGAATTTTAATTATCTATTATTGTAATAGCACTGCTGAGTTCAAAATGTGAAAAAGTTCATTTGTCAGAGTGATGTGCACAAAAGAGATACCCAGATGAACAATGATTACACCGGTCAACAAAATGACTGATTTATTTATTTTTTTTAATCAAAGATGTAAGTAAATTTTCTAGATTTTTTTTTTTTTTTACGCTGATTCGTGAATCTGCCCTTGTTTTTCTCTAGCACAGCAGGTTTTTATATATATATTTTTATAATGACAATAATGTAGAGTTGTAGACTATCATGTTCAATTGCAGGCTAATATATTTTGTAATATATAGGAGGTGGATTTTTTTTTCTGAAACGTCATAACTATAAACTACAAGGCATGGTCACATTCATATTATCCAAGCTTTGATAGGTCAAACTGAAAAACAATAAAATTCTAACATCTCAAAGACCTGATGTGCTAGTAAAAAAAAAAAGATTTTTGGAATCAGCGTCAAAAATACGTTTGGGTAGGACATATGAAACCATCGCTGATTGAAATGTGCTGTTGACCAGTGCATTAGATTTTGAAACAAGTTATTTTTTCCACGTTGCTGCAATTATCCTATGCAGTACAATACTACCCTCTGCTGGATATTAAGAGTCAAGGCTCTGACGACTCGTCAGAGAGATGAAGTACATTTTTTGAGTGTGTATCTTGACGTTGTGGTGCAATGTTAATATGAGAAATTATTAGCACTTTGTGTCTCTCATCGTTTAACGAGGGGCCGTCAGAGACGTAATTCAGGATTAACCCCCACATCCACAACTGAAACACTTTCATACATACCCCTTCAGAATATTATTTCTGTCGTTTGTCTCATAGTATGTGTGTGTGAAAAGAAAATTTAGTACGGAATGTGAGAGTAGTGTGTGGAGCATTTCCGTAGTGTGATTCTGAAAGGTAGTCTCGAAATATGTCACTAATGGCTCGTCATCCTATTTGTCTCCCTCCTAGCTTCACAGAGCCTCATCCTCGATAAGCATCATCCGAGTCTGAGGGCTGTCCGGGTCCGCAGAGTTGCATTGTCAAGGAACTTGCCGTGATTTGATCATCACAACCCAAGAAACTAAACGGGTTTGAACAAAAGCCCATTTTAAAGTATGACATGACATGGGAAAAGCAAGCAGCGCTCAATGCCTATGAAAAACTCCTGCGAAGAAATAACCACCCTGGAAGAGGTCAACTTGCCACAAAGACTTGGCCCTTTGTTGTGGAGGGTGTGGCGCTTTCGCTTTCGGCCCTGCCCAAAGGACAGGTTGACTTCTTGTTTCCAGATGTGCTCCTTCAAAGACTTAAGCAAATGTTTGCAAGCATGACAGGCAAATCTACTCATCCAAGTGGTTTTGTTGTTGTTTTTTGGCACGTGTGTGTGTGTGTGTGTGTGTGTGTGTGTGTGTGTGTGTGTGTGTGTGTGTGTGTGTCTTTGTTTTACTCAGTGCAGGGCAGTCAGCTTTTGCACCCAGCGGCTTTGGCTGAGCATAGGCAGGAGTTTTTTTGTTCGTTAGATAGTTTATTTTCTTCATTGGGTCAATGACTAAATTAGTAACACCACTATCATAGTAATAATGCATTTTATTTTTGGTTGACTTCCAAGTCACCCACGACCACCGGAAAAAAAGAGCAATACAAAATTATGAAATGCGTATAAGGAGTAAAATAAAGTCAAGTAGTCCTAAACATAAGAATCAATACAACACATGATGATGATACTTATAACCAAACCAATTCTAATGAATATGCCTGTTGAGGCGTGTTTTGACTAAAGGTGCGTCGTCAATATTCTTAAACACAATGCAGCCGGACACTCCCGGTTACATAGGCCTGTTGAGGCGTGTTTTGACGAAAGGTTTTGAATGTGGTGAGGGAGTCTGAATTTATTCTGCGAGGTGGGAAAGTGGTCCAAAACTAGGAGGTTGCCACAAAGACTTGGCCCTTTGTTGTGGAGGGTGTGGCGCTTTCGCTTTCGGCCCTGCCCAAAGGACAGGTTGACTTCTTGTTTCCAGATGTGCTCCTTCAAAGACTTAAGCAAATGTTTGCAAGCATGACAGGCAAATCTACTCATCCAAGTGGTTTTGTTGTTGTTTTTTGGCACGTGTGTGTGTGTGTGTGTGTGTGTGTGTGTGTGTGTGTGTGTGTGTGTGTGTGTGTGTCTTTGTTTTACTCAGTGCAGGGCAGTCAGCTTTTGCACCCAGCGGCTTTGGCTGAGCATAGGCAGGAGTTTTTTTGTTCGTTAGATAGTTTATTTTCTTCATTGGGTCAATGACTAAATTAGTAACACCACTATCATAGTAATAATGCATTTTATTTTTGGTTGACTTCCAAGTCACCCACGACCACCGGAAAAAAAGAGCAATACAAAATTATGAAATGCGTATAAGGAGTAAAATAAAGTCAAGTAGTCCTAAACATAAGAATCAATACAACACATGATGATGATACTTATAACCAAACCAATTCTAATGAATATGCCTGTTGAGGCGTGTTTTGACTAAAGGTGCGTCGTCAATATTCTTAAACACAATGCAGCCGGACACTCCCGGTTACATAGGCCTGTTGAGGCGTGTTTTGACGAAAGGTTTTGAATGTGGTGAGGGAGTCTGAATTTATTCTGCGAGGTGGGAAAGTGGTCCAAAACTAGGAGGTCTATATGTTACTTTTTGCTAGGGTTGATTGTGTCCGCAAGTAGACCACTATACAGGAGGTGCCGTCGCCATGGGCAACGCAACCCGAATTTGTGCGTTGTTCACTGTCACTAACCTATGCTAATGTCATAGTAATAACATAATTGCAGCAAATATTTGTGTGAAAAAAAAACTTTCTGCTACAAATATAAAACAATCAAATGGAAAAACACTGAAGTACAGGAAGAAGTGACAGGGAAGGAATGGCCTTTAGGCAACCATCAGTAACTGAAACTCAATATCTGAAAAGAACTGATTGGTAAAGATTTATTTAATTGAAAGTAATTATTTTTGTTTACATTTTAATTCACATGCTTAAGACACACCACATTGCTGAATCCATCATCATCGTTTTGATCCCCCTCCTTCTCATGAAATGGACAATTCCATTTTATTGCACGTGTGCAGATCTGATTCAGGAAGATGGTTGCAATTGGACCCCCTCCCAAAAAAAAATATATATATATATATATATATA